GTCGCGGCGCAGTCTCCCCGTGGCGAGGGCGTCCCGCCAGCCCTGCTCCGGGAGGCACGATGCGGCCGGGGTAAGAGCAGAAACACCGTGTCAACAGGTTCCCCCAGTACCGAGTCGTGTGACAGTGACAGGATAAATACGGAAAACAATCATTTCTTCTGAAAATAAGTGCAATCTGCCTGTGACCTTCTGCTACGCCACGGACCAGGACAGAAGGGGGGTTCAGGCCACCGTCACTCGTGAACCTCCACGTGACACTTCATAGTCAAGAGCTGGACATTCATACTCACTAAGTCTGAAAACTGTTATAACATTGCCTAATGATTAAATATCGTGTGCTATTATGCATAAACCAGAAGGAATAAAACATGACACAAGTCACTTAAACTATGCAAAGTTATTTACAACCTCTGTCAACTCAACTTTTTTGGCTCTTAGAACTCGGTTCTTCAGTGGCACAATTTTAGTCAATTTAATGATGAAAACATCTACCGTTTCAGTGAGCAACTAGTAAGGAGTGAAAATTTAAGTAGAATTTAACAACCGATGCCCGACCTCTGAAGACAACAGCATGACCTCTTCCACATCGTTACAACCGCCTAACGAATCCGAAATTACGATGAGATAAAATAACCTTTTCCGCTGTTCTCTGAACAGCTCTTCTTCACAAATCCCTGAAGTCACTCTGCATCCCATGCAACCAGCATGCTAATTTCACTTAAATACACAGAGCCCTTCGCATCAGATGCTCCAACTTCGCCCTCGGCACCAGTCTCCACATCTCCCAGTCTCACGTCGAGCAGCAAAGGGCGATTTGTTGCACCTTGCCCAGGTCCGTTATGAGCTGCTTTATACAATGTTTGAGCTGCGGGAGTCGAGCGAGCGGTTCCGGTGGTTCCAGCTCTCCCGTGTAATCCAGCCAACTCTCCAAAACTGCAAGGAAAAACAAAACCATCACTACACGCCAGTTCGCAGCACAGCGATCAGCCTCAGACACAAACCAGCAGTTCTGTAAATCTTCTGTGAAACTCGAGAGAGCGGTGGGCAATGCTCTGAGCACGAGGTATTTGAGAAATCAGAAACCCAGACTCCTCACAGCGACCTTTGCTGCTTTTAATATATGACAAAATGATTCACACTTCGGGGGGGGGGGGTGAAGCAGAGACATTCCTAGGAGAAAGCAGCGAAGGAAAACTCAGGACTGGGTATTTTCAGGACTAGATATTATCCCTCTGATACGTATCAATCGCAGAGCAAGGACAGGGTGGCACAGGGAGGTTGTACCATCAGAGTACCTTTAAGATCAGCGTCAGACGCAGCTGAAGATCCCGGAGGACAGGGCTACGCTAATGAAAGCTGCCAGTACAGAACACAGTGGGCCAAGGCAGAAAGAACTGGGTGACAGAGGCTGGGGATGAAATCCAAAAGCACGAACAGCAGACTAATGCACAAAGAAAATTAATTCCCGCTCTAAAGCTTCTCAGTGGGAAACAAGAACCAGAAGTAGCAGCGGCCAAAGGACACTCCAGTGACAACGTGACACCACCACAAGCAAGGTAGTCGGACAGAGCCACGGTGAGGCCAGGGGACGGGACAGCTTCACAGAAGAAACCGAAACCCCAGAGACAGAAGATGTCTGTCGAGAGGAACAGCAGCAGCTGCTGCCACCGAGCAGGTGAGCGGGACCCAAGGGCAGGACGTGCTGGTGGGCACCCCCAGTTACCGAGGCGCCCAGCCCTGTAACGTGGCGAGGGCAGCAGCGCGCTGAGCAGCGCTCCACGAAAAGCCTGCATTGGTGAACCAGAGCTGCTTCACTTACAAAACGAGCCTGACTGATCCTCACTACCCAAAATACTCCTCTAGTTGTTTAACTTGTCAGCACCTTCCCGACCTCCAAAGCGAGGGCTCTGCCTCTGGCCCCAAACAGCTTTGCAAGAAAAGCTGCTGTTGTAACCGCAACCAACCGTTGGACTTAAAGATGTTAAGAAAAAGAACCATCCTGGGTTGTTTACTGTAACATGTGAAGGGTTTCGAAGTTTTCCATCACTGGAAAAACAAATTTCAAGGGACATCTAATCTAGGAAACTTGGAAGAGGCTGGAAAAGATAAGAGACTTGTGTACCAGAGAGGCCACCTAGACCAGGCTGGCACAGCCCGCAAGCTCCTGGAGAACAGGGACATTCAGATACATGGAAGAGCTACGGAAAATGACAAAAAACTGAAATTAAAAGACACGGAAAATATTCCACTACATCACCCGATGCAAGTATTTAGAGGTGATCTAACCAGAACTTTTTCTCAAAAATTCTACCCGGTTTTAATTTGATCTTGGTTTCAAAATCCAACCCCTGCCACATAAGCAGCCTATCCATTTTCTATTAGCAAACACAGTAAATCTGACAAGGAAACTCTTGTCTCTCTCTAGGTCCACAGAAGCAAAACTCAAGTGAACATGTTTTGAATGGGAGGCTCAGTTAAATACAGTTACCTCTTGGAAGAGAAAAAGGTTACGTACCATCTAGCTCCTTCTCAATGAAATCCATTCTGTGTATGACTTCATCTTGCAGAGATTCCACGTGAGCTAAAAGGTTAAGCTGCCACTGCAGCTGCGAGTTCACAACTCCTTCTTTGTCTTTTTCCAGCAATTTCATTTCAATAGCTTCCTCTGGAGAGACCTTCTTGGAGACAGACTCTCTGACCTGGCAGAAACACACAGAAATAGCGGTTTCAGGTGCACCCGACTGGCCCGAGCTAACCCACCGTCCCACCTCGGGCTGGAGGAGGCTGGGGACACAGAGAAGAGCTCAGACACAAACATTAGGGCAGACTGGGCAAGAGGATTTAAATACAGACATACTCCTACAGGTATTTCACTAAGCTCTACCTTTGCACTTCGCAAACACCTGGTTTTTCAGATCACAGACACAGGCAGCCAGATCCCTGCCGGAGACACGGCGCCACCTCCGCGCACCCCGCGAACATTTTTAACATGAGCCATCAGCTACAGAGCAGGGGATTCTGCAGCGAGAAGGGATTTTTCCTGAAGGAATCTAATCTCAATTCTACCAAAACTTCCATCAAAGTGCCGAAAAAATGCCCCGTTACCACTGCTTACCAAACCTGACCATGCTCTCCTGCTTTTTTCTTCCTTCTGCTGAAATACGATGGGATTTAGCAAAAGGCTCCCTAAAAGACTGGAGAACTGAAATATAAGCCTTTCTGGGAAATATAAAATAATATCAATTGATTTGATGTAGAAGTTAGAACAAACGTGAACTACAGCTTACGAAAGCTAACCAGCCCTTTCATCTGACCTTGCCAGAGGCTGTACCGTTTGTCAGGCCACGCTGCGTGTGACGTGGCACTGACTCATCGAAGCAAAATTCTTGCCTTGGGGTGTAGAAAGAAAGGCCTCTGATAGACCCGACAGAGATAAAATGAGAACCGGGAGCTGCAACGATAAAACTTGAATGCTCCAGCAGGCAGACGACACGGGACTATTTGATGGTGATCATTCTCAAAAACCAGTTCAGGCTGCTACTTTTATTTTTCCCCCCACCATGAAACGCCGCCTGAAGAACGTGGAATTAATTCAGTTAACGTAACTATTAAACAAAACATGGGAATGAGGTGGAAGTCACTAAAAGCTGGAATACCAGTGCATTTGGTAGTATCCCATGTGCTTGCCCTGTTCCCTCTCTATCCCATCGCTAGCGTTTATTTTCACATCTATTGGACACACAAGTAAGAAGCAAGGAGGTAGCAGAGGGCGGTAATGCAGGACCCGCAGGCTGCGCAGATGATTTAAGGCCCAGAAGTTCTCTTCAACCTACACTGTTGTTATTTGAAAGGGATGAGTCCATCATGCTGACCCTTTTAATTCATATTGGCAACTTATATGTAACAGCACGGGGAAAAGCTGAGCACAAATAAACCAACTGAAAACTGTGAAAAAGGGCTGAGCTCTGCCCTTTGCCGGGCAAAGATCCCCTCTGTGCAGGAGGGTTAGTTTAATACAAATACCTTAGAGTAATTGTGTTTGGATTCGTTTTCCATCTTGCATATTTCTCGGTCCAGATTCCAGCCGAATCTCTCCGACAGGGCATCGTCCCCGTTTTCCCGTATTCGATTTACTCCGTCATCCATGGCTGAGCCCCTGGTTTCCACAACGAGCCTCTGCTCTATGGCGGGGTAATAGGCGCGAGGCTTCTGGTAACAGTGCTCACTCGTGATGTACGACTCCTCCACGGAAGGGATGGTTGAGGGCTTCTCGACCGTCCCGTTCCAAGTTCGGTAACTGGCCGTCTCCTCCTTGCAACAGTTTTCCTCAATGTGAATGATGTGTTTCGTGTGAATTTTTTCATCCACTGTAATATGCTTCCACGGATGGCACCAAAGCTTTAGGTCAGGATGTTCTTTATTTCTGTTCAAACGCAAGAACGAAAAGTAAACCACCCAAATTTAAACGGCCAAGTGACTGAGCAAACTATCCCATGATGTAAAGAAACTGAGTATTTGAGCTAGTACATGCTTTAGTCATTGTAATCAGTAAAAAATACCCAAATGTCCTGAAATAATACAATTTTACTGACCTCAGCTGTGCATCTTCCTACACCGATCTGTTAGGGTCACTGCTTTCATTTCTATAACATGGCACATAGGCCAAGTGTTAGCAGAAGGACAAAATTGAAGAATAATCTTCAAACAGATACACATAAATGTACAGCAATGTTGAAGAAGTATTTTGCTTCAATATTTGCAATTTATTAGCAGCCTAAACGCATGGTCACTGGGATATTTTTAGTAAGGTAAGTCAAGTAGACTGAAGCTAAACTAACATTTTCACAACTTTAAACACCAGTACTCCCCTCAAATCACAAAGTCTCAAACTTTAGCCTGTTGTTCCCCAAAATAAGCTTCAAAATTATAACCCTCTAAACAGCTACAACTGGGGACTTGGGGTGGTGGCAGTGGTGTAGAACTTCTTTGTTATTTCCTTTAAAACTTCAACTTTCCTTTAAATTCCAAGCTGCTGAGCAAACTCCACTGCCTGGTACATCCCCAGACAGCAGCCCTACGCTCCCCCGCCTGCTTCTTATGAAAACAAAAGATCTTATTTTGATGGTTTTCAAATCGACGAATACATTCCAGCAGCAGGGACATCTATAGGTGTTGGCTTCTTAAATGGATACGACAAACAAAAAATTTAGAGTGACCGTTGTAACTGATTCTGTTCCTCCCCGTGTCTGCCCGGCATTAACACAGCAGCAAGAAGGAGAGCAAAGCAGAACCACTCTGCTGATCTTCCGGAGAACGCGGCAGAAGCCGCCCCTGACCCTGAGGCACCCGCGGGTGGGAGGGGGTGAGCCCCAGTCCCCGCCAGCAGCAGCAGCAGGGCTCACTCCATCGAGCCGACCCGGCTATTCCAGCCACCGGCCAAACCGCTCAACCAAACGCGACCGTGTTCCAATCAGTCCTGCGGGGGGCTTGGGCTGCTCAGCGTCGCAAGGCTCCAGGACTGCCCGGCACTCGCTCCGGCTGCTCCTCCAGCTGCGCTCCCTCGGGTGCCAGCTGAGCGCTCCCTGACCAAAGCTCCCCGCTCCAGCTCCAGCCAAAGGCACTACTTTGCTCAGCACAGAGCAAGGGATAACTTCACACAAGTCAGAGAATGGAGGCACCAGCTACACAGGGATGAAAATTCAAATGCTTAAATACCCGAGCAACCTGTTACCCAGTGCCTTCTGCAGGCTGGCTCTCCCTCCAAGGGTTAATGTCACCTCTGATCCTCTGCCACCTCCCTGAAACACTGAGCAACACTCTGCTAGTGATTTCGGGCAGCTGTGAAATCATGTCTCCCCATCACGGCAGATCCGCATTGACAATATCATCATTCTTCCAATTCAGTAATCGTAGGTAACGACAAAGGAAGCGAGAGCTTTTAACGAGATGGTCCTAACGGGACCACACCTCATCTTTTGTTAGATCAGGTCATCACATCAACCCCAGGATGGGAGAGCAAAGGTGCCAAACCCGCACGAAGACGTCGCACGCTCACCCAGCGCTCCGCGCCCCAGTATCGTGCAAATCCCAATTCAGTCTATGCTTGGGAAGTCACAGGCTGAAGTCTTGCCAGTTAAGAAAAGGCCTAAGGAGTGGTCTTACCATATTTATGTTCCCCCCCCTCCACAGACGTGACTAAAAGCCACCATAATAGAAAAGCAAAACCTTCCATTAAAAATTGCTACTTTTGCTTTAAGTGTTATTCCGCTGCTTACGCGTTCCAGCTACTGCCAGGGACCCTACTGCATCGCCACAGATGGGATATAAGGGAAAAAGTTGTAAAGGATGCTGGAAGCCCTAAAAGCTTTGCTTTCCGAATAGCTGCTGCCGTGCAATTTATCAACTAACAAATTAAAAATATAGAATTTGATCAATTTAAAACTGCTGGATTTGAGTTAGATAAAGAATTTTTCAGTCATGAGAACCCACGAATGACTTGAAACAGAAAATTTGATTTCTACGGTCATTGCAGAATACATTATTTTTCCATCCATATCTGCAATAATCTTTGCAGAGAAATGAACTGGAACACGTTGCTGGGGGTGCAACTGCTTTCCCACCACAACAGAGCAACCGTTTTATTTCTGTTGGAAAAGTCATGATTTAGAAGAACTGGAAGAGTGAAGGCCTGTGTTATCAGTTATTCGCCTATCTGCTTCTTGCCACTAAATCTCTTTAGGTGCTCCAGGAGAAGCTGTTGTTACTAGTTTCCTCCCTCTCTTCATACCTTCCCAACCCTTCTATATGCAGTCAATTCACATTTAAACACTTCTTAAACAGCCAAGTCCTTTCCAAGATCACGTCAGCAATTCACACTATGTTGTTGTATCTCCGCAAAGCAGCACAAAAATCCGAACTTCCGGTTATTTTTCCAGCTGGAAACTAATTCCCGTCGAGAACAGGTTGACTGACACTGAAATAGGCCTTACTGTAATATGCTCATCTTCAGCTGCAGGCCGTGCAGAACTTCTATCACTCTCTGGACATCGCCAAGAAGCTGGTGAGTGGCTACTATCTTCTTGGCGTTCTGGTGAGAATAATTTTCTTCCAAAAACGCTAAGCCATGCATGTGACCATTACTCAACCACTCCTTCTCGTACCAGTACTTTAAGCTGGACCTCTGACCTAAAGCGACAGCAACGAGTGGGTTAAAATGAGGCATTAACGGTGGTACGGTAACATCACTAGTAGTCATTCTGAGTATCTCCAAGGTTTGCAACAGCTTGTTTGTTCTTATCAATAAAGATCCAGTAATAGCAGACAAAACCCTGAAGACAGGAAGACCTTCTGAAGTACGAAGTGAGGTGATAATCTCAGTCAACTGAGTATTCTGTTGCAAAGGTTTGCAACAGCTTGTTTGTTCTTATCAGTAAAGATCCGGTAATAGCAGACAAACCCTGAGGACAGGAAGAACTTCTAAAGTACGAAGTGAGGTGATAATCTCAGTCAAAAACCTCTGCCCAACTGTAAAAGCTTTCCATCAAAGGACACTCCCAACAGGTAACTGAGCTGACACGCAGAGAAAAGCGTGTTTTTAGCAGGGTATCCCACTCCGGTAACCAGGGTTATAACTAGAGCTGCTTGCACACAGCTCTCTGCAGACAGAAAAATGCAGCAAAAGGCAGGGAACTTCCCTGCTCCAGCAGCCCTTTTTAACCATCACACACGGGTGAGCAGTCATTCAAAAGTGTATCTTAAAGGAATCAGTGATGAGGTTCTGTTGGAGAAGTTGCCTAAGTCAGGCTATTAATAACACAAATTCTAGTTTAAGGGGCTGGAATATCAGCTGAAATGAAATTATGTTAAATGTGATAAATTCATCAGTAAAAGTAACTTAGGAAAGCAAACAACACGGTATTAGCAGGGAGGAGTGGAACTTGAGAGGCTTTCTCAGTTGCAGAAACCCACACAAAAAAATCCAGCCAAAGCCCCCAGGCCCTGCAAAAGCGTTGTTGCAGGAGAGGTTCTCCGAGGGCAGCTCGGCGCCCTGCGGACCAGCACGTCGTTCACTGGCCTCCACACAGCCCAGCCAGCGAACCCGCAGCACCAGGGCAGGCTCAGAACAACATTCACCAGCAAATCCCCAGTGTAAGCAGGTTAATATTGACTAGAAGATTCAACAGTTAGGGAGAAGCTAAAAAAACAAAAGAAGAAAAAGTTACAAGTTGCTAAGCAGCAGAGTGAGAGCCAGGGAGAGCAGGAGAGGCAGGTGGGGCAGCGGCACTGCCCGAGCAGAGAAGCTCAGCCCAGCAAAGCAGAACGACTCCTGGGGAGCTGAGCTGGGAAATGAGCCGAAGAGGCACCGACGGGCGTCGGGATGGTCCTGGCAGAACGGGAGCAAAACAATTTGTGTACCGTGTCCTCTGAACATCTGTGGACGCAAAGGTCATCTTCAAGCTTAAACTCAACACCAACGCTCTGTCTTGGGAAAGGAGCAAAAGCCAAACCAGCACGTCTGCAATTACACCCACTCAGCTGCTCGGCTGCATAGACAATCCTAGAATCCTAGACTGGCCTAGGCTGGAAGGGACCTTAGAGATCATCTCGTCCACGGGCAGGGACGCCTCTCAACTAGCTCCGGCTACACAAGGCCCACGCCCACC